AGACTTGGTTTAAGATTTGCCTCCATCTATTTATGAAAACTGCGCATGTGAGGTGCGTGTTGAAGACAAATTTTAAACAAATAAATGTGACGTCTCTCCAATAGTTTAAGCTTTTAGATGAGATGGTTCAACACACATGCATACGACCTCAATGGTAAGGACCAATGGTTCAACACGCATGTATAGGAGCTCAGTGGTAAGGACCACCATCTCAAATCAAATATTAAGAAGAATCAATCTTAATGAGTAGATGAGTTCTCCTCTCTTCCATTTTGTTGTCTTATTAAGACACATAAAATGCTATACATTACCATCAAAGAGTCCATCTTCAAGTTCATGGCCAATACTAGCGGTATAAGCAGGTTTCAGATATTCCTTCTCTACCCTAGGAAAGGACCTCGCCTTCCCTGTAGATGACCCTCGTTCACGCTTTTGCTTGTTCCTTCACAGGTAAGCAGTTTGTTCTTCGTAAGTTAACCAGTGAAAGTAGTGTGTGATTTAAATTGCAGTCAAATGATAAAATTGATAAAAAAAAAAAATGTTTACCGGACAGCTCTAAATTTCTTGAAGCTATATGTCAAATATGGTATAGAATTCTCCATCAGATTTTCCAGCACCTTAGGCACAGTTCCAGCATAGGAATACGTAAGTACAAGAGTTAGATACAGATAGAGAAATGGCAAAAAGAACACTATATTTTTTCACCTCATATATAATTAGACGTTGGATTAATACTTGGCGAAGGGTCATCAAGTTGCGATGCAGTAGAGCATGGTAGAATATTCCAATATATGTCTGCATAAAGTAAAGACCAAACACCTGGAGGAAGAAAAGATAAGTCTAAATGATTTAAAAAATACATTAAACGACAAGGAGAGATACAGATTTCTTTTGTCCACCTTGTAGACCAAACTGCAAGCTCTGTACTCTACATTTTCATTATTTTCACATTTAACAAGCTTCACTGATATCTTTCCCCCCATTCTGGTGAAGTACTGAATTGCAAGGAGGTAAACTGCTGTCAGACAAAACCTGGAAAAACATGCATTTGAGAGGATGTCATAACGCCAAAATCATTTTCAATAAAGCACGAATAGAAAAGAGTTTCTGAATTTAACAACAGTTGTTTACACCATCAAAGAGAGAATTTCCAAAACCATAACCTACAAATGGTTTCCTCATCTAAAAGCTTAAAACTAATAGATTGTGAAGAAAATAATTTTGATATTTAATTATTTAAACCTTCAGTCCTGCCCCCTCACATGTAGGCCAAATTTATTTATTTATTTCCTTGCACCTATTCATGGAATTTTCGTAAATGAGTGGGGGGGAGACAAACTCAAGATCATCAACCTTCTCTAATACCATAGGAAATGAGATGTAAGTTGTTAGAAATGAGAGAACAATTTACTTCCATTTATTTATTAGATACTTCTTTGTTTTAATCTCTCTTTAACCAGCTAAAGGTTATACATGCATGACCCAGTGCAAAACTGGAAGAAAGAAGTTGGATGCACTCATATAATCCAAGACTCTTTTTAGTTATGTTCATCTAAATATGAATTTCACAATAATGAAAAAATGTAGTCAGCATTTGAGTTTGCAAATTCTACGTATCATTCATTAAGAATCAAACACGACCGTGATGTACCATATACCATGTTTCATTGCATACTTTCAGAGAGACAAATTTCTCATCATATTAAGTGGTAAGATTCAGAAAAAAATTGTGGATAAATTGAAAATAACATTTTACCCTCACTAATCAGATCAGCTTAGACAAACCATTCAAAGCAAGGACAAAGACTCAATTAGGCAAACTGGAAACTCCCCTCCCCGTAAAAACCTATGTACGTGATTGAATTCTGAAGGTATTTGCAAGGCTCCTATGTATCATCTTTTCAGGTTTAACTACTCAATTGTCTCTTCTACAAGTGTGGAAAGTTATGTGAATTGAATATCTAGATGATTCTTCACACCAACAAAATTGCATTTGTCTTCTGATTTCACAATAATTCTAGGGTCATCTACAGAAATCCTTTTCCGCCATGCCATTTTGGAACCTGAACAATTGTAGGAAACAAAAAAATCTAGGCCCAAGTATTCTACTACTTACATAAGGAGTTTCTTGTTTCCTTTTTCCCCGAGGGGTTGGGAGGATATATTTAAAAAAGAAACACAGAATTAATAAGATCAATTACTCACTTCAGGAAGTCGGACCCAATAACTTCATATAGATGAGCATAAGCCAATTCAAAAGGAAGCTGGAGACATATGATACTCAATATAATAATGGCATCATTTCTGAATCTCATCAACCATCTGAACCATTCTTCTCTTTGGAAGAATGCTTTCTCTTTCATATTATCCATCCCTCTTTTCTTCATGAGTTCTGCAGGGGATTCTAATGAGCTCTGTTCCATTTGGAACAATTTATAATCAGATTCTGTACCCGCCGAATGATTTATATGCCACCTGTATCATCCAGACATGGTAACACAACAGCTACAGGATGTGGAAACATGAGTGCAAAAAGATATTTGTAAAGAAATGCAATTCAAAGTATCCACATCAGATGGGAACTGTTATAGCTGCTCAAAACCGGACTACACATACCTAGCTAAAAGAGCTGAATTTTTGCGTTTCCAGAATTGGAAAAACAACACAGCCCATGAAATCAGGCATATGAAGAAAATAGGGAGAACCAAAAGTTGTATTGACCTGGGGGGAACAAAAAGCAAAAGAAAGCATCCCTCAATAAGAGTAATTGAAAAGCACAAAATTTGACATAGATGTGCATGTCTGGTGTACAATATTTGATAGTACATGTCGGTATAATAAGCAACATTTTAACTTCTTTTCTTATTTAAATTGTTGAGTATTGTCTAATCCATCTTAATAGACATGCCAATATAAGACGAAGTTAAATATGGCCTACCCAAAATCAACCAACTGCAATGTAAGTCCTAATGCAGCTGGAAACAACAACCACCTTGTGTACTTTCCGAGGAAAGCAAAGTAGATGGCAATCTACAGGCACAGCACATTCGCAGTTACTAAATGAGATGAATGTGGTTTATTAGGAAGAAAATGAATATTAAGTAACAGCTTATAAATGAATGGAGTGAAAGTACAACTACCACCACCATTTGACATTTACCTTCACTCCATAGTATAAATATATCTCATCAATTGGCTGTGTTGTAAAGTCCCACCAGTTCAGTGCCCAACTTCTTAGGAGCTTCTTCCGCTTGTTTTCATCTATAAAATATTCATCTTATTTTGCATGTCCATGACTGCTGATAAATTTGTCATATATAAGAAGAAGAAGACTACCATGCAATGGAAATACTTCTTTGACTATACTCTCTGATTCCAATTTCCGAAGTAGAGGTTCCCTCGGAACCCAGTCGACCTCTCTATGATCATATTTCAATTCTATAACTGACTTGCCTGTGTTCACCTGTGACATTTGGCCTTAACATCAGGTTCAAAGTGAGAATTTTGGTACAGAACAAATGCACGTGCTTGGAAGCATACAAATGGATATGTAAAGCTGTGTCAAAAGACATTTATATCCATTGTGCGACAGCTGAGATGGTTTTCCTGTCTCACAATTCAGAAGAACATAATTGATTATCTGAATCCTATAACAATTGAACAAATACAAAAATAAAAGGCATAATGTGTTTCATCACTTTGTTGCAGTGTTTTAAAAGGCGTAATGCGTTGCGATGCGTCAAGGTTGAGAATCAAGGATCACAAGCTTAAGCGTGTCAATGCAGAGAATAGGCGTCATAATGCGTTCGTACTTTTAATATTATTTTGAGTATAATAAATAGATTTTTATATTAAAAAAATAATTTTTTTATATAAAAATAAACGTACACATTCACCCAAAAAAAGGGATTTCAAACAAGCGCATAAGGCGCGCCTAATCGCGCCTAGGTGGTCAACAAAAAATTTTGACCGCATTTTTACTCGCATATCACGAATTCGACGCATTTTCACCACGCATAGCGCCGCATTTTCACCACGCATCGCGCATTTTGGCGCATTTTAGAACACTGCTTTGTTGTACAAAGAGATGAATTCCTAATTCTAGGTCGATCCACCAGGTAAATTGAGCAGTATAATTAGCCTCCACATAATCCAACAAAAACTCCAACCGTTAAAGCCTCTATCTTGTCAATAGCTACTCCATCTATTGACCACACCTTATTTAGAATCTGATACAGACAAAATGAAAGAGAACAGGCTGTATATTCACCTTACATAGTTTGAACTCCCAGACCCAATCAATGAGCCTGTTTATTACTTGACATTCTTATTGTAGCAATCAAAAAATAAAAAAAATAAAAAATTAAGCATTAAGAACAATACTAAACAGTGCACAAACAATATAACTAACTCACAATCCCGTAAATTATGTGATTGTAGCAACGGAAACGCTCACACCAAGTGAACAAGGATCCATCAGGTTGCCTAACAAAGGCTTCTACCTCATCCCATTCAAATGGCAAGTCCATTCCTGAAATAAGCATAGGACATTCAGTGCACGTTTTATACGTAGTGTACTAGACAGAATACGAATAAACTTCTTTCTCTTTCTTCTACCAAACAAGTCATCGAGATTATTTAGGTCAATATGAACACAGACTACTGGGGAGGCACAATAAACAAAAGACTAATGAATACTGCATGACTGCTACCTATATGGGTCCGTTTATTGAATTGCAACTCAGCCGCAGCCTTCCCCATAATCTCCAATGGTGCTGACAACTGAAAATACAAAATGGTAAAACTAGCAATCAGACAAAAAAAAAAAACTAAAATTGATTATTAATTAAAAGCTTTTCTCTATTTGCAAAAGTCCACACAACAGACAGAATTGAACTGTAAAATGAACATGACTTACCTAAGAAAAGATTATATGATTACCTGTTACTAATAACTTACAATTATTCTCACAAGATTAACAGTTGCATGAACCGAAAAATTTAACCAATTAGAAGATAACAGGTTAGACAAACTTGAAATCAGAATAAGTGCAATTAATTCCCAATAAATTACATAAATCCAAATCAACAGCGAAGAGAGACAATAAAAAAATTGGGCTAACCTTGACAAATTCATTTTGAAGGCCAATAACTCTTTCAACAATTAGTCCTCTTTTCACGAACTCATCAACAAGAACCTCGACACAATCAAGACTGCTGTCGTCCCCTTGCTCTTCACTTTTCTTTGGAACCACCACACAAATCTCAAACACAATCTCTTCTTCCCTCTCATTCCCACTCATTTTCAACCCTTCCACTATAAACCCAACAAAAAAAACCTATGAAAATCAATAAAATAAGCTTCAACACCACTATAAACCAAAAGGGCCCTCTCTATTTAAAACCAAAAATAAATGTATAATTCATTTCCAACAAAAATTGTGTAAATCTATTTTGTTTCTGATCAGGTTTTCTGCGTTCTTGTTATTAAACCAAAGGAATAATAAATGAGAGAAGAGAGAAGAGAAGAGGTGGCCTAGATGGAGGCGAAGTACACAAAGCAGGTGTCTTTGCAAACGGAAACAAAGGGAGAGGTGTACATTGAAATTGACACATAAGCATGGAGGACACGTGGTGCTGGCCATGTTATTTTTGTCGAGTCGCTTTTGGGCTTTCCTAGAAATCGTCTAGGCACAATAAACAGGGCAGCATTGAATTCCGTGAAAGAGAGAGAATCAAAATGTATTTTCTTTTGATCCAATAGCTCCACTCGAGAGCATTATTTGCAATTTGCATTCTGAATATTCGCATGGCAAGTTGGAGGAGGCGGCGATGATGAAAATGACTGAGCATTGTTTCAATGAGAATATTTTGTATGCATTGGTGGGAAGTTATTTTATAAGATGTTCGTGATCCTCCATTCATTTTATAGAGTCTTGGATTCTTATCAATGGAGAGAAATATTCACGAAGTTAGGGATATCTTGACTAATAAAAAAGTTTCGAGGTTAATGAATGTTCACAATCAAGGAAAATTTGGAAATATGTTATTTTTCGAGTTTAACAATTTATAGCTTCTAAAACGATCCAAATAAAATTATTACTTTATGATTAGAAGACATGTAACGCGGACACGGATTCTAATTTACCTCAATCAATTTTAGAAAAATCTAAAGAATTGTGCATCCACCATTTGAGTCCTAGTTTTTTTTTTTTTTTTTT